CCGGAGAGTTAAATATGGAGCTTATTGAGTTTTCTAAAGATAGTACCCTGAAAACTTTGTTTGACAGCAAGAAAGATCCCATTGAAAATTGGAAAAGGTCGATAGAATATCTTCGCCATCGTGAATAGGCATTATATCATGTTTTTCTCCAACACACAATTGTGAATTCAAATTCACGTAATTGACGCGAATCAAGAAATCGTTGATAACACAGTTGACAGATGAGCATTTGGAAGACCATTGAAACTAAGCAAAAATGCCATGATATCAAAATGCTATCTCAAAAGAAGCAATGTCAAGGAAGTCATTTTTTCTAAAAACTGAAGAAAGTATTTGTTTGAACATGTCATGTTTTTCAGTTTTATAATATCTGTTTTTATTAGATTATATATTCATTAAATTCTATTTTATACATTATTTACGTAAGGTATAAAATGTGTAACTGTAAAATGAATTGCTTAGTGAATGCGGCCTCTGTGAGGGACGATGAATTTCGATGTGTCCTTCACGTACAAAAAGGTTTCCTATTCCTGCTATAAAGTGTATTAATATGGCGTTTGAGAATGACCGATACGTCCCACTTTAAGAACCTATGCGCATATTGATCTGTATATGTGATCATTTGCTTTAATCAAAATCTATTACCCGTACCTTTAATCCTGAATAAATTGAAACTCAAATTCAAACGTTTGCAGTTTATACATACACACACACACACACATGCACATACACACACACACACATATACATATGAGGAGAAATCACAATGTTATATACTTTTCTTTTTTGTGGGGGGGTCGTCATTTATGACTTTTGCCTGTTTCTCCTTCAAAATTTTTCACAATTATGTTTATTAAATTACAATTTCCCATGTGCCCAGTCTTTCCGGTGAAATGTTGTTGAAGCTCACAATTTATGGTTACGCGACAATTATGGCTGACAATTCAGAATCCCATCCCAATTTGTACACACAGCAATGTTTTTTCATCCTGCTGTATAAACACAGATGACAATACAAAGATCTGATTCAATAAACCAACCATTTATTTCGATTTCATTTGCTGTCCCTATTCCTGCCTCTGCCCCTTTTTCTTTTCCTTCTTTTTACACTTATTTCCTGCCAGATAAAGCTATAAGGGAAAAATAATAAGAGTAATAATATATAACATAAAAGCAAGGAAGTATGGAGGAGAATAAAAGCCGATAAGTGTAATAAAATAATAATACAATAAAAATTATAAAAAATAAAAGAGGAAGGACAGAGACAAAAAGAAACTGGAGAATAAATATAAGCGGAAAAAAACAGACGATAATAAGAAGAGAAATGAAGAAAAAATTTACAAGATTAATAATGATATGTATAGTGATAATAATATTCAAACGAGAAAAAAAAATAATAATAATAATAATAATAATAATGGCAAGATAAGCCTCTTCATGGTCATTACGCTGTCTTTATCAAAGAAGCTGAGAAAGACAAACCTCGTACCATTCAGTGGCTACGTAGTAGAGGATTAAAAGCTGAATCCGAAGGTTATATTCTTACTGCACAAGACCAATGCTTCTTAACTAGAAATTACCAAGCACACACACTGGAAAATTGTGTTAAAAATGCAGATGCTGGGATAAATATCCAGAAACAATTTACCATTTTGTATCAGATTGCACGTTACTGGCACCCAGTGAATATAAGATATTCAAAACAACTATCAAAGTACAAGAACCTTGAAATCGAAATGTCAAAAATGTGGTATATGAGAACATCAGAAAATTCCAGTTGTATTTGGAGCCCTCAGTTTGATTCGAAAAGGTTACGAAAGGATCATTCCAATAGCCCAATCTTTAACGAAATACAAAAAATTGTACCCACAAGTACAGCGCACATCTTACGAAGATTTATCTATGTAAATTATATGTGATATTAGATTTGAGTATACACTAAATGAGTATACACCAGATATCAAAGGAAATAATAATAATAATAATAATGTAACCATTATGTGATAAATGGTCCCAGCAAAGGTTTCATAGGCTTTGGCATAGGTCTTGGCAGACAAGATATGGTTTCTCTTAAAAAATACGGTACTTTGTGGGACCTTACTCGGAAGCATTTCATGTGCAAAGGGCAACTACAACTGAGGCCGAATCGATCATCGCTTTTGTCAATAAGTCGATGTCTCCGAGTGAGGAACAAGTATGGAGTCGAAAAGACTGCTATTGGTCAAACCGTCCCAACAATATTTTTTTTATAATCTTTTCACCCCAAGCAATGTTACAGTCCTCTGAGATTTTTCTATCAACACAGATCGAATTATACAAACAGCCCTGACAATCTATTCAAAATCGGAAAAGAAAAACTTTACCCACTGACTGAGATAAGCATACCAAGTGACATCTCTGTGAAGATTTTTGAAAACTTAAGTACAAAAAAAGAAAAATAGAAAAGATGTGGCAATTAAAAAATGAAGCTCAAGAAGAAATCAAGAAAATTCTTGGGACACCATGATACACCATGTCTCTGGAAATTCCGAAAATAAAATAATTCTAACAAGCGTAGCCAATATCCTGGGACTTGTCCATTTAAGTTTTTTTTAATAGCTGCCTTTTATTTAATTAAGTGGAAACAACAAAAAATCATACCCTTCGCTTGCTCTAAGTCATTGGTTATGACACGACATGAGATATATCTACATTTCTGAGATGAGGTAATGCTGCTATTTATATTATATACATTGTTCGGAGTATTGTCCTCATCTTTATTATCATATTCACGACATTTCGGTCGTTATACGCTCCGCCCTTCTTCAGTTAATGTAATTTCGAACTGAACCCTTTATTTCGTCCAACTGAGTAGATTGTTCTAGTTCCACGCCTTTTTTGGATATCTTAGTTTCCCTTTAGTAACTAAACATTCAAATTTTTGTTCACCTCTGCTGTGACCAGGTATTGAACTCACAACTCTTTCTGTCAAGTTACTGAATTACAACGCTTTTATACACTGATGTCCCCAAGGACACATGGCCCAGTGGATAAAAAGGTTGGTTGAAGTATTCCAGTGAATTAAGCAGAAGAGTTGTGAGTTCAATACTTGGCCACAGAAGAGTTGAACAAAATTTGGAGTAACTAAAGGCAGATAACAGAAAAGGCATGTCATGTGGCACTAGAACTCCAACGTATATCATCTGAAGAAGAGCGGAGCCTACTACAGCTGAAACATCGTGAATATGACAAAGAAGGGGAACAATAGTCAAAACAATGTAAACAGTTAAAATACCGGCGTGAGATTATAAAACAAATACAGATCCAAGGTAGTTTTTTTTTTTTTAATAATAATAATATGAACACCACCCAGACCCGGTTACGGAGATAGGACCTGTTACAAATTTATGGGACTACACAATACACACTGACAGAACAATCAAAGCCAACCGCCCAGACATTGTTATTAGAAACAAAAAAGTGACTCCTTATTGATATGGCTGTCCCTGCAGACTACAATGTATCGTTGAAGAACTTCAAAAAGCTATCAAAAATACAAGGACCTTGAAATCAAAATCTCAAAAAATGTGGCATATGGGAACAACAACTATCCATATTGTAGTTGGAGCCCACGGATTGGTTGGAAAAGATTCCTGTAGACTAATTGAAGTGATTCCTGGAGGCCCATGCCTTAAAGAAATACAACAAATTGTTCTCATGAGTACGGCCCGCACTTTACGAAGGGCTTTATCCATGTAAAATATGTTTTTTTTGTTAGTGTAAAATGTCATGATGCCATTTCTAACCTTAGGTCTCTGGGCGAAACCCGGAAAGAAATGTTTGCACAGCAAAAATCAAAAGAAATAATAATAATAATAATAATAATAATAATAATAATAATAATAATAATAATTTAGATGCTTAGGGACACCCTTAATGAAAAACCATCTGAAGAGACAGGGTTACCCGGGATGAAATTATCTCGAACTGGGTTTCATTTGTAAGGATACTCGCAGTTTTATCAAAATTTGTCACCATACTGCGCAAATTTAAATGTGATGTATGTGCTTGGTATACACTTATCAGTCTATGTGTTATAAAGGGTATATTGGGTTTCATATATTTCTACCTCAGCGTCACTTTCTTGAAGTGCCGCTCTTTCACTCAATAATAATAATAACCTACAGGTGAATGTACGAGAAAAACAAATTAAATTCTACTAAAGTTTATTTGAAATTCTTATTTTTTTATTATATTATTTATACTTTTTACTATTATTATTTTTTCCGTTCTTTTATGTCACCCCTTGTTTGTTTTTTAATTATTGTTTTTCTGTAATTGGAAAATGAATTGTTTACTTTGAAAAAGAACAGGAATATTTCGATTTAATACTTACTGAGCTTTGTTTACATTTGGTTTAATAAATTACTTGGCATCTTGTTTGTTCCTGAAGGCATTCAATCCGTAATCGGAGGCATTTTCTATTATTCCTTTGACAATAAAGTTTTTAATATATTTTCATGTATCTCTGCAAATAAGTATGAATGTATTCAATTGTAGAATTTAAAAATTACCCGACTTGGAGATAGCTGTTCCTACACATCGGCTCAATTGATATCGTCTCTCATTATGGTCACGTTGAATTTTATCTCATCAGCAATATCTGATGTGAGTTATTGATAGATATAAGCCATAGATTTTTGGATCGACAAGAATACTGAAATAGTATCTCTGGAAGTCTATGACTTAGATTTGATGGATTAGTTTTCTTTGATTTATCAAATCTTTGCAGAAATCCGGAAAGTATTTTTAGATTCTAAGAATCTCCTTTTGAGATTATAATGGTTTAGTGATCAAAGTCTTACTAATTAGTTCATAGCTGTGAGGAAAATAGGTGGATTCATACCTTTGCCAAATTATCTGCATGTAATTAAATATAACGAACCCAACTGGAATTGGAACTCGGCTATCTGATTAATAATTCCGATTGATTATCCACTATACCACCGGCACATCCAATCATACAGCACCTGGTATTCTCAAGCGGTTACACATGTCCATACAGATCAAGCTCGACGTTGCTTAACTTCGGTGATCGTACAGGAAGCGGTGTTTCAACGTGATTTGGCCGAAGCTCGGTTGAAACTTCGGAGTAACTCGTACTAAACGATGCAAAAGGAAAATAATAATAATAACAACAACAACAACAATAGATTCCAGTAGACTCATTGAAATGATACCTGGAAGCCCATGCCTTAAATAAATACAAACATTTTTCTCATGAGTACAGCCCACACCTTACGAAGGGCTTTATCTATGTAAAATATATGTGTGTTTAATTGGTCAGTGAAAAATGTCATGACACCTTTTCTGACATTAGGTCTCTGGGCGGGACCCGTGGGAAAATGTGTACACACCAGAAATCAAAGGATAATAATAATAATAATAATAATAATAATAATAATAATAATAATAATCGCATGTGTAGGGATCATATGGAATGATTTTTTTCATGGCTACAGGTGTAATTATCTAACAATGTTCTGTCCTTTGACTGTCTTTTCTATGAGTGAAAATTTACAATTTATCTTTTAGTGGCTAGTAGGTTGAGAGATGACCGGAAATTTATATTTTTTCTCTTGCCTCTACCCCTTTGTTTAATGAATTCTTTGATAATCTCCCTGCCAAACTGTAAGAAGGTCCAGCCTATCCCATAAAATTTGATAAGTATCTGTCGTTGGCGACAGAAAGTTGAACTTTTGTGGAAAATCACTTGTGCCATGCACCGAACATGTAAGAAATGGTAAATGTTGTACCATTTTTCATATATACGTTTCCTGTACTTTGATATGATTCTAAATCCCTTTGACTCAATTTAACTTTAATTCTTTCAATTTAATTTCTGTTTTCTCTTTCCTTTACCCATTTTTTTAAAACTCTGAATACTAAAATCGGATATTCCCCTTGTATCGACAAGTCATGACATCGTTCTTCACTGCACTCGAAAACCCAGCAAAGAACACCATCAATCAAACATACCAAATATGGAGAACTATGGTGGGAAATTATATAAGACCTCACCTCAATCCAAACATGCTTGCCAATGACTGTAGGGACATTATACGAAACAACAGACTGCAATGTATCTTTGAAGATATTCAAAATGCTGTCAAAATACAAGGACCTTAAAATAGAAATCTCAAAAATGTGGCACATGGGAACATCAACAATCCCTGTTGTGGTTAGAGCCCTAGGATTGATTGGAAAAGATTCCAGTAGACTAACTGAAGGGATTCCTGGAAGTCCATGCCTCAAAGAGACACAAAAAAATTTTCTGACAAGTACAGCCCACGCTTTACGAATGTAATTGTTTTGGTTTTTTTTTTGTTTGTTTTTTGTTTTTTTTTGTCAGTGGAAAGTGTTATGATGCCATAACCATAGGGCGGGACTCGGAAAGAAATGTGTAAACGCCAGAAATCAAAGGAAAGTAAAACAATAATAATAATAATAATCTCGAAGTAAGTTAAATGATAATGTATTGAGCAAAAGGGTGTAAGGTACAGCACGGGAAGTTCCGGAACATGAAGGTGACAAGCGTACCAGTTGTTAACGGAACACTGGGAGCACTCCCTCAGGCTCGGAGAAAAATGAACTGAAAATTAAGATAATACTTGAAACTACCCAGACGACGTCATTACTGAAGACAGCTATACTACAAAGTACAGTATTCGAGTATTGAAGGAATTCTGCTGCCACATAATCTCTTGTGTAGGCCACCATTTACTACTGATGTGAACACGCAATGAGGACGAACTAATAATGCTGTTGGATGTCGGGCCTAAGCAGTTTGACTTGGTTTTCTATTGTGTCAATCGGATTGGTCCGAATCGTTCTCAAGTCTCAGAGAACTGAACCTGGACACCTTATACATAATCCTGGGGATTTATGAAAACACTTTTAATCGGATCAGGAATATTGTTTAGAGAAATATATCTATTCTCACACCGGAATATGGAGTGTCTCTAACGGCAGGGGGGTCTCTAATCCGTTATATTTGTTTGACTCTGCAGACATACATACACAGACACACACACACAGACACACACACATATATATATATATATGTGTGTGTGTGTGTGTGTGTGTGTACGTGTGTGTTTTTCTCTTACAGCATTTGAGGAAATAAAGAATGAAAGTGCAAAGGCCTTTACTTGGTACAAATCTAATACGACAATAATGCAAAAGCAGTACACACACACATACACACACACACACACACACACACACACACATATATATATATATATATATATATATATATATATATATATATATATATATATATATATATATATATATATATATATATATATATATATATATATATATATATATATATATATATATATATATATATATATGGCCTGGTACTTATACATATATATATATATATATATATATATATATATATATATATATATATATATATATATATATATATATATATATATATATATATATATATATATATATATATATATATATATATATATATATATATATATATATATATATATATATATATATATATATATATGGCCTAAACATATGTACGTTTAGGTTTAATAAAAAGAGAAGTGTTTTGATAAGGGTGGGGATATTTTTTATTTTGTTCCAACACGGCAATAGAAAATACCAAATATAAATTTCGTAAGAGATATACGAGAAATAGGAGCTTTATCTGGAAACAATGTTTTCATTTTATTCTGGAAGTTCAACTTATAGTCGCTTGAAATGTAAAAGGCATAAATGTTGTGATAGAAAGAGAATGCCAAAATACTTTACTTTCAAATCTGCGTAAGAATTAATTTTTATCCAGCTGACTAATGACTTTTTCATCACAAAGAAAATACAACGCAACATATATGAATAAAACAACGCAATATATATGGATAATGGATAAATCCATATATCTTGCGTTCATTGTCTGAACTCGATGCAAATATTAAAGAAGGTGCTGATGTCGAAAGAGCTACTTTTTGTCTAGATTTATGTTCAGAGAATGAAAAGGACCTTCAACAATCAAGTGCCAAGGAGAAAGTCATTGCCACCTTTGAAAACTAAAACGTTAAGCAAAAGTCAAATCCATGCACCGAGCCTGGTTTCTAAAAATTCATGAAAAAAACAACAAAAAAGTGACTAATTCTGAGAAGCGTATAAAAATTATGAACATCCTCTATTATATGAAGGTAACAGACAGTCGGAAAACTGTATTATTAGCCGACGCGTTTCGTCCAATGTGAACTTTTTCAAGACAAAAACGGAAAGAATTTATTGAAATCAAAGTATCTATTAACAAAAAACAAAATGTCCTTAGCAACTAGAATTTAGAAAACGCTATTGTATTCATATAGTCAACTAAATACAACAGAGTTTTCTAAATTCTTCTAGTTGCTAAGGACATTTAGAGTGAGTAACGGCAAAATAGGACCTAGAATAAAGAGTAAGCAGATAAATATTGCGTAGGAATATACTTTGTGGAGAACCCTGATCGCCGTCCCCTTAAAAGGGTACGGCACATAAAAGTAGAAAGAGGCTTTATATTTAAAAAAGACACATCGTTTCATATTTGAGAGACGGATGAACGTCAGATAGTGCCAACTGTCCCTAAGATGGAAGTACCGCTCATGTAGATAGTTTTCGTGATGTTGATAGCAGTTGTAGAAATTGCGAAGTCGTTGAAAAATATCACTACGTAATATTTAACTTTAAATAAACTGCAGTCGTGTGTCAAGATATTTTTGGGAGAAAGTAAAGATTTGTTTTGAATAAAGTGTTTTTTTTTGGGTTTTTTTAATCCCGAGGCCGTCGATATAATGATGTATTGGGTGAACCAAAAAGATCGTTAGATTAAGTAGAAAATTTCCCACCAAATGCATACAAATACGAAGGTGGGATAAAAGTTTCAGGGAGTGTCTAGGAATACTGTATGGATTAATTTCAACTCTTATTAATAACTGCATTGTTTCTTTCCAGGTAAACTGACATCTGTCTAAAGAAGACTTCAATAGTAACTAGCAGTGACTTCTTTTGGAAATAGACAAAATTTGATATCGTGGTTCTTTCAAGTACCAGCAGTAAAAGGGTCTAGCTCCCAAGGACATTCATGCTGACATGGTCGCTACATTAGGAGATGACACTCCAGCTTTATCAACAGTGCAAAAGTGGCAGCCAAATTTTGTAGGGGAAGGGAGAGTCTTGAAGATGACCCAACATCCTACATTTGCCATCACCAAGAAAAAAACATTAAGCATGTTTAACACATATTGATGGATGACAAGGGATTGTCTATAAATCAAATAGCCGATGTTATTAGCATATCTCGTGAGAGAGTTGAGAATATTCTGTACAAGAAACTTAGCATGACAAAAACTTCTGCTCGGTGGATGCCGCGTCTTCTGACATCTGTTCAAAAGCGAACCAGATTACGAGAAATTCTGACTGTGAGGCAGATCCACTTGGTTTCCTTGACCTTTCATAACCATCTGTTCATCATTTTGAGCCAGAGAAAAAGAAACAAAACATGCAGCGGAAACATCTCTCTTCTACTGCTCTAAATAAGGTCGTCGGTTCATCTGTAAGGATGGCGATGGCTTCAGTTTTTTGGAGGCAATAGTCATTGTTTTTAGTGATTATCTTCAAAAGGCCCACACTATCAATGGAGTACTATACCATCTTTGCTGGGGCAGTTACGAAAGGCTATCAATACCATACATCCAAGAAAACTGAAGAAAAGCAGTTTGTTTCACCAGGACAATGCTCCAGAACGGAAGTCCTTGATTTCAATGGCTTCTGTGTGTGACTGTGATTTTGAACTAGTTGATCACCTTCCTTCCTTCTCCTGATTTCGGTCCGAAATGACAATCTTTCGTTCCCCAACTTGAAAAAATATTTGGCTGGGAACAAATTTCCCAGTGATGATTACATCATATCTGCTGTTGATAACTTCTTTCCTGAATGAGATCCAAGCACTGAAACAACGTTAGGAGTGTACTGTAAGGGAGGGGGGCTATATTGAAAGATAAACATCATTTAGTCACATTCCATGAGAATATCATGGTCAGGCTATGAA